TGGACTTTTCGGGAAAATGCCGACGTTAAATTCGTCCACGCGTTTATGTTGCCAAACATTACAAGAAGCAAACATCAATCAATTAATTAATAACGCTTTATAAACATTCGTGAATATTTTTTCTGGTCGTTGTTTTTTTTATCTGATTTTCTTTCTTTCTTTTTTTCTTTCTTTTTTTTTTCTTTCTTTCTTTCTTTCTTTCTTGCTTTCTGTCTTTCTTTTTTGTGGCTTGTTTACATTAACTCTATGAAAAAGTTGCCATTGCTCTTTTTTGAAGACAAAAGAATGAATACACAGTTGAAAACCGGTTTTTTGCTGGAAAATTTTGCACAAACCTAATCAGTTATGTGCCATGCATGATACACACTTGGGCCATCATGTATCTTTCGATACATGACTGACGAAGCAGATTTTTTCCCCGCAGTAGCTTGCCATTTCTTTCTGCAGTAGACCAGTTTCCATCCAAGGCTATAGAACCCAGTTTGTCCTACTATTTACACACAGCTGGTGGGAGAAGAAGAGGATTCATACTTTTCCCAAGAGTATTTGCGCATAAGTAAATGTAAGGATTCGACTGGAATTCGAACTCGGCTCTCCGATATCGCTAATCGTTCTTAGGATCGATTTTGTGACCTAGATCGAGTTATTGCTCAATCCCTAACTCAAATCGTGGATTTCCCTAATCGCTTACCTCCCAAATCCGAGCATCAGGCTTCTTTACTGGATTTATTTCTTAACCCCACCCCTTCTAACCCCTGCCGGGCTTCGCAACATTGTCCTCTTGGCAACTCGGATCACTCTGTAGTATCTATTGATATCTTCCATCTTTTAGATAGAAACCTCCTATTTATAAGACCTCTTCCGTTACCAGCATGCTGATTGGGATTCACTTCCTGACTTTCTTCGAGGTGCCCTACTCCTGGACGGACATCTTTAACCTTCATATTGATAATTGTGTCACATAAATGATACATTTTGGAGTTCGGACCTCATTGAGCGCTCTCAAAAGTCTGGCCTTCTACTTATTAAGCTAAGCTTAACCTTCCTTTCTTACAAAATATTTTCGCAATAGCAAGTCTAGGAGCCAATCAAGGTAGAGTGTTAATGTGTGAGTTTGCTGTATTGACTTATTGAAAATAAATGCAGATATTGAGCATATATACAACAGATAACGGCTGACCCTAGACTTGAAGTGCTTAAGATTGTAGTGATTAGGGAAGCATCCTCACGGGAGTCTGTTCTCCGAAGTAGCTGTTCTAGGGAAGAAGTTGCCGGTGTGGGATGAACTTACTACTTACCAATCGAATATGAAATGAATGAGAGGGATTCGATCCTGTGTACATAGTGTGTCCTGGTTGTAAATGTTTGAACTGGTGGCACTAAGGAATGTACCTCGTCTGAACATGAAAATAGCGAATCCATAATACTTTTGCGAGTTCAAAGCTAACTTGATGCTCCTAAATCTTGGACTTGTGTCAGACTAACGCGAATAAGTGAGAGGAGCAGATAAATTTGACATATAGTGGGTTTAAACCTCATTGGGTGTCATACTTCTATAGGCTCGTGTCAAAGAAACCGACTATTCTTCTAGCAACTTTAGAGATTACTCGAATATACGCGTTCCATTTGAGCTCAGGAGTGAACTATAGCCCCAGTAGGCGTTCGAATCAAGGAATCTCTTTAAGGGTATGACAACTCATCAAGATTAATGTAGGTATGAAGTCTGCTTGGTGGTGATGAAATGTTACGGGTTTAGTTTTAGATGTACTGATTGATATCAGCCATTCTTTTCTCCATTCAGCTGCTAGACTAATGGTCAGAGGAACGATCAATTGCTAGGCACCAGTCATCAAGATATTTAGTAGTGCACCCATGTCATCTGCATATATATTTCCTAAGGATCTGAGAGTGGTCTTGGAACGATCGTTGATATACACCCTTGTGCAAATTAATTGAAACAAATGCTTTAGTTTCCTTTCTTTCACCATACGGTCAGTTTTAGACCCACTGGAGTGACAGGGGGTTATCGATATTTATTTTTCCTCAGATTAGGTCATTTGCCGTGTTGTACAGTAATATGAATCTATTTTCGAGATGTGTGATGAAATTTGTTTCTCTTTTAAAAATATTGCGTCATCCCTGATTGCTTCAGATTTTTATCCCCCTATTGTCTCGACTGTCGATTAGTTGTCCTCTGTCCATTGTCTACGATGGACGTAACTCCAAGAAAACGTACAAACATTTGTAACGCTGCACGAACATACTGTCAAGCCTTACCAGTGAGTAAATCAAAGTACTATCGACTGGCTCGAAACTTCTCCTGATTTAAATCCAATCGAGAATCTGTGGTCAGTCCGCAAGGAAAGACTTTGTGGAATGGACATACGAAGTATTAACATGTACACTGGGTCATGCTTCAATGTAAAAATACGAAAAAAAAAGTAAATAATAACGAAATTATTCGTTTTGTTTCAATTAATTTACACAATTTGTAAACAGAAAAATGTTAGGACCGAGCTGAGTGCCTTGGGGTGCCGATATTGATCTCATGTGCCTCAGAGGACAAGATGAATCCCAGCAGTGTGGAAGGGTCAACACCAGCCTAGATATGGTAGCAATACTCTATCTTTGAGTTTCATTTAACGCCAAATTTAGACCATATCAGTGAGAGTAATGTATTTTATGGAATGGTATAATGAACAGACCCTGCTTCCAGCATCTTTTTCGATGGTACGAATACATGCAATCGATTTGAGATCGATTTATTTAGATCCGGTAGGTGTTTGAAGCAAGGAGCCTCTTTGAGGATTGTTGCAGGTTTAGGATTCGTTTGGTGGTGATGAAATGTTACTAGTTTAGTTTTAGATGTACTCAATGATATCAGCCAATCTTTTTCCCATTGAGCTGTGAGAGTTAGGTTAGAGGAGAGATCGGCTGCCAGGCATTGATCATTAAGATATTTGGCGGGGTATCCATACAATGTGGTGTCATCTGCATATATATATTTACTAAGGATCTGAAAGTGTTCTTTGGCAGTTCGTTGATGCACCGCAGAAAGAGATTAGGACCGAGGAAAAATCCTTGTAGGACATCAACATTGCTCTCATGAGGCTTAAAGGATTAACCATTAATAACTATTATTAAAGATTATCTTTTTATTAATATATTAGCATCTATAATTCTCACAGTTTTTAACACATTCGCTGATACAATGGATATTTATATTCTTACATAATATCATCTATGTTTTTATTAGAGTTACTACTGGAAATAGCTACATTGATATAATGGCATAAATTTTATGAAAATTTCCATTGAAAATCGTTACCTTGGATACTTGACGCCTTACATAAATTTTTTTATAAGAAATGTCATTAAATATTTTTATGTACGTCTACTTGTGTTATATTTTGGTAAACAAAATTAAATTTATAAAAATAGAAAGCGATGAAAACAGACCAACAAATCAACTTTTATTGATTGATTTATATTGGTTTTTACAGTTTATCAACCTTTTGCAGGTTATTTAAAGCCAGAAAATATTTTTAGATTGTAAGATATTTTTGTATGATGAAAATGATTTACTGATATATCTCCTACTAATTAACCCATAACTGGGGGGAGAAAAGATGGATTCTTACCAATCCCAAAAGTAATTGCCTATAAGTAAATATAATGAACCTAGCTGGAATTGGAACTCAGCTCTCTGATTTCCAATTCCAAACCATTACTCCACCTGCACATCTGAGCTTAAAGCACCTGTTATTCACAAGTGGTCACCTTCCTAGCTACTGACCAGGTTCAATGGCTTAAATTCAGTGATCGTACAAGAGCCAGCGTTTCAACATGTTAATGTTGCTGTCAACTATTCTTTAGAAGTGCTGCAATCTAATATTTGTGCTAAGATTGCATAGTTCCCAAAACTATAGTGTTTGATCTTGAAATATCCTGTTTTTAAGGCTACCATGGATTAAACTATGAAGTTGGTTAAACAAACCCTAAATGCATTTGTAATTACTATTTTTTAGCTTTTAAACAATGTTAAAATCCATCTAAAAGATGGCCTTTTCTCTCTAATTAGTTCTTTAATTTATCAATTTAAGTATCAGTCTAAAATTGACTCCATAAGTAAGACAACCCAATGGTTAGAGAAGAGAATTTCTCAGCATATTCCAGCATGTACTCCAAAAAGACAAGTTTCAAAATTCAATAATTGTTCCAGTATATCTGGGTCTGCAATCTCTAAACAACTTATTAATAATTAACAATGACACATTGGCCTAATGAACGGATATGTTTTGTGCATTGAGACAATCCATTCCAATTTACATCTGAAAGTCCTTGAGACCATTTTCATTCATCACATAAACCTTTTTTCTGTAAATAAAAAAGAATGGTTGTTGGTTATCAATGTGATTAGCTTGTAATATAAGTATACGTACACTACAAAATTTAGAACCCTGTCAACAATTATCGGGATGAGCTTAACATAAGAGTGAAAAAAATGAAAACAAGCTTATAGAATCATTGAAAAAAGAATAGAATCAAACTTATACTTTAAGAAACATTTTGCAATGAATGCTAAAAAATTGTGCTGCAGTAATCAAGGCTAAAGGATGATATTTTGACAAGAGCAAAATTTAATCATAAAATGCTTCTTTTTTTTGTCATAATAAAATTTCTAATAAAAAAGTCAGACTTTCGCGTAAGTCTTCCAATAGATCCGGATCTGCAATCTCTAAACAACTTATTAATAACTAATGACAATTTTGGCCACCTAAATAACCAATGACATTTTGGCTAACTGAATTTTGGGGAGATAATAATAATTTAATGATGCAAGTCCTAATAATTAACCCATAGCTGGAGAAAAGAAGTGGAGACATACATTTTCCCCAAGAACATTTGCGCGTAACGGACCCGACCAGAATTGGAACTCGGCTATCCGATTTCTAATTCCGAGCCGTTATCCATTAAACCATCCGCACATCCGATCTTAAAGCATCTGGTATTCCCAAGCGGTCACCCATTTAGACCCTGTCCAGGCTCGACGTTGCTTAACTTCGGTGATCATGCGAGAACCGGTGTTTCAACATGATATGGCCGTAAGCCCATTATATCCCCCACACATCCAAACTTACAGCACCTGGTATTCCAGGCGGTCACCCACCTAGTTACTGATCAGGCTCGACGTTGCTTAACTTCAGTGATCATACGAGAACCGGTATTTCAATATGATATGGCTGTAAGCCCATCAAATCTCCAACACATCAAAGCTTACAGCACCTGGTATTTCCAGGCCGTCACCCACCTAGATACTGACTAGGCTCGACGTTGCTTAACTTCGGTGATCATACGAGAACCGGTATTTCAATATGATGCGGCCGTAAGCCCATCAAATCCTCAACACATCTAAGCTTACAGCACCTGGTATTTCCAGGCGGTCACCCACCTAGGTATTGACCAGGCTCGATGTTCCTTAACCGGTATTTCAATATGATATGGCCATAAGCCTATAAATCAAGGTAAAACACACTGAGAATAGTTTTTGCTACGAAGCTGTTTTTATTGCATTAAATAAAACGTTGAAATGGACGCATATGTGTGTCGAATGCAGGACGCAAAATGCCTCAAGACGCACATGTGCGGCAGTAAACGTGTTAATGAATACACATTTCTTCGCTAATAATACTTCGAAAATTTCAAAGCCGAACGATGACTGGACAATCTGAATAAATCTCTCCGTCCGTTTCGAATAATTAATACCTAAAAGGAAATAGCGGCTAAAGAATGATAATATCTTGCCTTTTTTTTTTAATCCCATATCGGTTATTTTGGTGCAAACAAAAGACGCCGCCGAATATGGCCGGTGGATCAGATTCCTATAACCTGGGAACGCCATGTTTTATCAGTGCATCCGGGTCCGTTCGTCATCTCCATCAATAAACGACAGAGCGGCTTCGGATCGTCATGATCTGTAAATAGAATATAAGCCGAAAACCGAACACTGTGTCTGGATCCGACCAAACAGTCTGACGTCTGTACTCTAAAATCGATGACCGATTAGTTTCGATCCTTCATTTGCTTACACCAGACAGTTTGGGATGATGGAAAAATTTTAGCCATGTTTGTTTGTTTGTTATTCTAAGGTTGAATCATTCTGTCTTATTTCTGTCGATTGATTTCAATCCCGTTCTGCGAAATGAGAAAACCATCCTTGGGTTAGCGTCTCATTAATTGTGAGATTAAACTCTATCGAGAGTGTTTTTTTTTTTAATCTTTATATATATATTTTTTTTCGTTTTTTATACACTCATCCCCGTCTTCGTTACTTGCAAAATAAGAAGCCATTTTCAAGTGTCTGCTTTTTAATGGTATGATGGAAAATGAATTTTCCTTTTGTTTTACAAAAACGCTAAATCCGTTCAATTTAACAATTAACATATTTTTGAAAAAAAAGGCATTTTGCAGAGAAAAGCAATCAAGAACACTTTTTATCTGATTTTTTTTATTTAGATGAGGAATTATTATCAATATATGTATTATTAATTAGGCAAACATATTCATAGTTGTTGTAATATTCACAAAATTTCGACCGTTTTACTCTCCGGCATTCATCAGGTATTCGTACTCTGTAAACTTGTTGAAATTTTAATTTACATTTACAGTTCAACCTCGCTTCTCGAACGTCTCACATGTCGAACAAATCAGTTTTCGAACAGAAAATTCGAGATAAAAATGCCTCGGTTTACGAACAAAATTTTGGTTCTCGAACAACATTGACGAACCGAGTTAACCCGAATGGAATAATTAGCTTACTTTGTTTACTATAAAACATTGGAAATAAACGTTAAATCTGTTTTCAGTTCTTTTATTTTAATCTAAATATAACCTCTCATATCCGGATTTTGTAACCAATTCCTCATATCCGGAAGGCCTTCTTAGACCGGTTGTCAGAGATTCTACTGTATTAAGAATTACCACTGTTATTCAAAATAATCGAAATTTTAAATTTTCACTGAAAAAATATTCCATCTGTTTGATTATGTTATTTTCTAGAGTGGGTGGCTTCCATGAATGTTTGTTTAAAAAGGAACTTTTGTCTTCATGGTGGAGTTAAAATAGAGTCCTCTACTATTGGCTTCTTCCGGAGAAGCGGCTTACCGCCATATCACGTTGAAACGCATGTTCTCGTACGATCACCAAAGTTAAGCAACGTAGAGCCTGGTCTGTACTTAGATGGGCAACCACTTGAGAATACCACGTACTGTAAATTTCGATGTGCGAGTGGTGTAAAGAGCTTATGGCGTATCGCATTGAAACACCGGTCCTATTAGGATTACCGAAGCTAAGCAACGTAGATCCTGGCCATTAATTAGATGGGCAACAACTTGAGAATACCAAGTACTGTAAATTTGCATGTGCGAGTGGTGTAAAGAGCTTATGGCCTATCACGTTGAAACACCGGTTCTCGTACGATCACAGAAGTTAAGCAACGACGAGCCTGGTCAGTACTCAGATGGGCAACAACTTGAGAATACCACGTACTGTAAATTTGGATATGCGAGTGGTGTAAAGAGCTTATGGCCTATCACGTTGAAACACCGGTTCTCGTACGATCACAGAAGTTAAGCAATGACGAGCCTGGTCAGTACTCAGATGGGCAACAACTTGAGAATACCACGTACTGTAAATTTGGATATGCGAGTGGTGTAAAGAGCTTATGGCATATCACGTTGAAACACCGGTTCTAGTACAATCACAGAAGTTAAGCAACGACGATCCTGATCAGTACTTAGATGGGCGACCACTTGAGAATATATAGTGCTGTAAATTTGCATGTGCGAGTGGTGTAAAGCGCTTACTGCTTCTCACGTTGAAACGCCTGTTCTCGTACGATCACCGAAGTTAAGCAACGACGAGTCTGGTCAGTACTTAGATGGGCGACTACTTGAGAATACCAATTGCCATGAATTTGCATGGGCGATTGGTGTAAAGAACTCTTGGCGTATCGCATTGAAACACCGGTTCTATTACGATTGGCGAAGTTAAGCAACGTAGAACCTGGTCAGTACTTAGATGGGCAACCACTTGAAAATACCACGTACTGCAAATTTGCATGTGTGTGTGGTGTAAAGAGCTTATGGCCTATCACGGTGAAACACCGGTTCTAGTACGATCACCGAAGTTCAGCAACGACGAGTTTGGTCAGTACTTCGATGGGCGACCACTTAAGAACACTAAGTGCTGCAAATTTGGATGTGCTTATGTTGTAAAGAGATTACGGCGTATAACATTGAAACACTGGTTCTCGTACAATCACCGAAGTTAAGCAACGTAAAGTCTGGTTAGTACTTAGATGGGCGACCACTTGAGAATACATGGTGCTGTAAATTTGGATATGCGAGTGATGTGAAGAGCTTATGGCTTATCACGTTGAAACGCTGGTTCTGCTACGATTACCGAAGTTAAGCAAGGTAGAGTCTGGTCAGTACTTAGATGGGCGACCACTTGAGAATACCTGGTTCTGTAAATTTCGATGTGCGAGTGGTGTAAATAGCTTATGATTTCTTCTTTGGATTATCTAAATATCCTGCTGGATATTTAGATAATCCAAAGAAGAATCAGCAATATTACTGGTCCTGACCTGAATGTGTTCCGTTTTGTCAGTTGGAGCCGATCCTGGTAGATCCGGCGCGTCTAGTCTTAATGGAGAACTGGAAATGCCATCCTGGACCCTAAGTTAGATATGGAGTGGGGAGCTAGCGGTTGGCTGAGAGATCGCAGCCTGGTCGATCTGATCGACTAGTTTGGTCTTATTGATAGATACCGGATCGATCACTGGGGGGCGGATGTGGACGTTGGCCGTCTAACCGGATAGCCGGCTACCTGGAGAGAATATTATTCTATCTAGACTTGCTAGATTGCCCCACGTTACCTTGGTTAGGCTACTAGAATCGAAAATCGTATGTGCCCGGATAGTATTAGACTCTAGGCCTCGATTGGCTGGATACTGGATGTTATGGGAACTTACCCATAATAATAATGGACTATTCCTGACATTATAAATACTGCGCCTCTCAAGAGGTATCAGGAGATTGTAAGACGAGGAGAGATAATTGAGAGCATATTGTAAGGACATTGGAATAGTGATACTTGTCGAGACAACATAGTTCACTCTAACTAAATCTGATAGTCATTACTAATACTAATACTTCTTTGTATTATATTTCTGTTGTAATATATCTTTGTATTCCATACCTGTGTTCGTGTTATTCTTTTCATTGGTTCTAACCTTGGACCATCAACGTGGTACAAGGAAATTGGACCATAACACTGGATTAGTGCAGAAGGAGGTAATGGGACGGTTATTGGGAATAAGTGGTGAGAGAATCTTAAGGCTAGAATTAGGTCTTTCACCACCGATTTTAGCCAATGACTTGCCTTAGATGAAGCTAACAAGGTGAAAGCACTTAAAAACAGTCTGGTCCAGGCGGAGGCTGAGGGGATTATCCTTGAGATAGACTTAGCTAAACAATCCCTGGAGATAAACAAATGTCTAATGAAGCCGTGAATGTGGGCGCAATGAGGAAATTCGTCGATGTTCCGATTGTTTCGTTCGGCAAGTCTCCACCTCGGATGGGCGTACCTCGCGCTCGACCAACGACATGTGTGAGACGTTTCAGCAGCATTTCCTGAACCGGTTTACCAAGGAGCCAGGTCAAGAGTTTCGCATCTCTCGTCGACTGGAGCGGCTGGTTGCGAGGAGGTAATCACGGAGGGCGAAGTCCACGAGGTAATGAAGAGGGTCGGCAGTGCCAAAAATCCAGAACATGATAATCTGCCCTACGAACTGCATTTTAGGCTGTTGTACATATTTGTTCCGAGTTTGACAGTGGTTTCCAACAACTGATTTCGGTAGGGGTCCGTTCTCGACCAGATTTCCACGGCTGGGATCACGCTGTTGAAAAAAGAAAAGTACGTTGGGCGTACCCATAACTCAGTTAAACACAGAGATTTGGGCCAAGATCCTGAGCGTTTGCATTTAGTTGCCGAGATTCTGTTGTGACTGGAACAGACTTTTCATGTGAAGAGACGAACGATTCAAAGGATCCTGAATCTGATCCACACGATCCTAAAGGGTGTAGAAGGCAACGATTCGTCCTTTAGACGTTCGACTGGATCAACTATTGATACCCGGCGGATGGCCTGCAGACCGCTGGATTCCAATCTGACTTCTGCAATGGGTCAGTCTACTGTTTTGCTCACCCAATGCTGTGGTATATGTGAACAGAAAAGCGCCGAACCCTTTTGTGTAGTCCCGGTCGGTTCGTCAGGGTAGTCCGCTGTCGTCCCCTGCTTTACGCTTTGCCGTTGAAGGTTCTTTTGCGCCGGCCGGCTGAGAGACGGGGCGTGAAGCCCGATCCTGCGCGGAATTGGTTTCCCTCGTGGAGCTCGAACCAGGATTGCCATGTACGCCGATGGCGCAGCGACATTGAGGTGGTACAGAAGACGCTTGAACAGTACGAGAAGGTCATAGGGGCCAAGATTAACCGTAACAAGTGTTCCGGTTTGCAGTTAGGTGCTTGAAAGAGCGTTGCTCTTCTGGGGTCCTTCTGTTGGATTGACGGCCCTGTCCGCATTCTTGGAGTGTGGTTCGGGCTGTATCTTCAGCTGGGGAAGTATAGATCAGAGATAATGGCAAAGGTTGGAGCGTCGATCCGGAATTAGTTTCGAAGGCGGTTGTCCTTAAAGGGTAGAGCTGAGGCGCGTTACATGTATATTTTTCTCCTCATCCTTTACCGAATGTCAGCAATCTTTCTCAGCACAGACCGTCGGGAGGTGATCGGGCGCTTACTCTTCTTTCTGATGTAGCGGGTAGGGCAAACCTAACCTTCGCAGTGACCTTGTTTTAGAGGAAACGGCTGCGCCTGCCCTCTTCCACTGTCTGCAGGTGCGCCCGTTCTGGGATCATATGGGCGACTTAATAGTTCCTATCGACCCCCGAACATCTCGTATCCATCGATCTCAAATATATATGTGCGACAATGTGTCGCCCTTGTGTTCTCGGGTGTAACGAATGGCGTTTCTTACGCTGTTAGCTGTGGAAAGAATGGTGATATGAGCGACACAGACGGATGGAACTTTACGATACGAAGTTATTCATATCAGGATCTGATTGGATTCTTTGGGTTAGGGCCCAGGATGAAGACCAGAACTGATTAAAAGCGTTTACTTTCAACAGCTTGGCTCGCGTGAATGGGGCCAGTCCTGGTTCCGTTTTTTCTATTCCCTATAGGCACAAAAGGGCAGTTTCCTAACAGACCCCTTCCCTTGGTTAAGCTAGACTCCTCTTGTTCACTTGTGAGTGATTGTCGTTCCCGACCTCTTCCCGGCGTTCTCTTTTGTTATAGTCCTTGTCAAGATTCCCAATGTTCACAGTTTGTCTTTACCCCCTTTTTATCTTGATTAGATCAGACGTTTATATTGACTCACCCCGAAATTTATTTTGTCCCTCCCTCAACTTTAATGGACAAACTTCTTGATTCTGCCTACCGACAGAATACAGCGGCTGTTTTTACTCTTTTGGAAGTGGACAGGTCTTACTAATATAATTTTATTTTAGTTTGAATATTTTGTTATTTTTACACTATTTACATTATTCGGACAATTGTCCTCATCTTTGTCGTCATATTTATTACAATGTTTCGGCCGTTGTACGCTCCGGCCTTCTTCAGGTGGTCGGAATGTCGAACTGAACTCTTTATTTCGCTCACTGGGGTAGACTGTTCTAGTTCCACCTGCCATGTTTTAATGGATGTCAGTTATCAGTTATCTCCTGTTAATTTCCCTCTCCAAGTTCTCCACTGCCTTAACCGGGTATTGAACTCACACTCTTTGGGTCCTGCCACTGGATCTAACTAACACATTTATCCACTGTGCCATGTGTCCTTGTTATTTTTATTTCATTTTGGGGTTTCCCCTCCCTTCATTTTATGATATATGTTTTCAAGAAAATCCGGGTTTTAAAAAAATCACTATTGTACACACCGAGCTTTTATACCATGGGGTTTTCTAAGTAGGTTCCCTGTGTTATTTTGGTAAATGATGGTTTGGGTGAAGAATGATGAGTTCTTATGGTGAATGATTCAGTTGTAAGAATGAATGCGTCGTGAATCTGATTAGCTCGGTTTCGGGTAGTCAGTTACGACCAATATTTGTACACTCTCCTTACGGCCTTGTGCCACAAACATGTATTTTCATGTTAGATAAAGCGTAGTATGAAAGTGTAGTATCTGGTCCAACAACAACAGCAAGATCAGCAGCAGCCAGCCGATTTCCAGCTCCAGCTCCTGCTCCAGCTCCAGTTCCAGCTCCAGCTCCAGCTCCTGCTCCAGCCATCAGCAGCTACAGCCATCAGCAGCCACTCTAGCAAGCATCCAGCTCCAGCCAGATATCCTCGCCGGCAGCAACGATATGTGAAGAACTGTCCTTTTCAGGACAACACTTTTCAACGACAACAAAATTGTCCTTCTCAGGACAACGCTTCTTTCACATGAACATGCAGAGATATTTTTTGCCTAGTGCACAGTAACCTTATTTTTGTCGCTGCATTTTTTTAACAAAAATAAACTTATATATAAGATATTTTTGTTTACTCAAGTCTTCATTCTTTTTGGTGTTGTCTTCTGTCATACCGTATCTGTTTACGGCTCAATATACCACCCGAAACAGGTGGTCGAAGCAAGAGTTAAGTAGCAAAAAAATAAAATGTTTGTGTTGGCATATTTTTACAGACGAAAATAAATTAAAATAAAAAAAAAAACATTTACAAAGATGCTAGGATCGCAGCTTTTTAGCTTTGTACACAGTTCAGTCCTAATGTTGGAATACTCCACTCGAGAAGTGACAGACTTTTACAATCGGTTTCAAGGCCTTCCAGTCATCTTGTAACGTTGGTAAGTCCATGATAGGGGAAATCATGACTTGAAAGGTTGGATCGGTAACATGAAGTTGAGTAGGATTATTTTTCACTGTATTTATCAAATCAACATTGCACTCAGTTTAGAAGCTGATGTTTAATATCATAAGTACTAACACCAAAAAATAGATTTATAACTTTTAGCAATTTTTGAGCATTTAGTTTTAAAGCTCATGTGAAAAAATATACAGAACTATCTAATTTCCGCAGGTTTTTGCTTAAAAACTGACTTCAAAACACTGTGTCAAGAATAAATACAAATAAAGTTGATATATTTTGTATTAGATAAATTGAACTGAAAAATATATACAAACCTGAATTCTAATTATGAATCTCCACAAGGTAAATATGCAATTTTTTTATTGTATTTAATAAGTAAAAACTGTCTAAAAAAATTGTAAAAGATTACAAAAAGTCTGCTCAATTAATTAAATTTCTTAGATCAAAATTAATAAAACCAAAAAATGGATAAAAGTGAATATAATTCCATAAATTATAAGACAAATTATGAAACAAAATGGGTGCATATAATATAAATGTTTTAAATTTA